AAAAAATGAATCAAGTATCTGTAGTACAGTACTAAACTTGGTGGGTGGGTGTGCACACATGTGCGCATACACTGCTCTTGAAGCTTGAACTCAGGGCCTGGGTGGAGTCCCTAAGCTTTTGTGCTCAAGGCTATTGCTCTACCACTGAGCTAAAAAATCTTAACATGAGGTAACATCATGACATACAGCTTCCTTATACCCAAAAGCATGGCAGATATAAGAAATAATCATTTTTATTTGCAAAGAACTTTATGATTTTCAAAATACTTTCACATTCATTATTTAATTCAATCCTCAAAGTAACTCTATGAGAATAAGTTAAAGGTGTGGGGAAGTGACTCATTTGAGCCTAATTAATCAGTTAACAGAAACCTCAATTTTTAAACCCTTAAAGTTCATCTTTTTAGCATATAACCTTTTGTCACCTAACTTTCCATGGAAAGCCAAATGACTATTTTGTAGCCATAAGAAATATCTGCAGTATTTCTGGGGCCTGTAAAACAGTATTAACAATATGCATGTTTATTTTTATGTATCTTTGCAATGGTGGGAGATGGAACCTAATTATGAACACTTAATAAAAGGACACATTTAGCTTTTCTTCAACCAGAAATTAAAAACTTATGTAAAAAATAAATATGTAACATGACTTGTGAAGACTTAAAAAAGCCACAACAGTCTAAAGTTCCCCCAAATCTGTTCATATAACATATTTGGGTATTTAATAATTTATTTCACAAATCTGTTATGATATAGAAACACATAATCAGAAAAGTCATGACATTTACCACAAAGTTACTGTGCAAAATTTTCACAAAAGTCTTTGAAAAGCTGAGGAAAACTTCCCCAAACCATTCTACTATCTGTGAGTCTATAACCCTGTTGCCTCATTTTCAAGTTCAAAGAGATAGACAATTCATTCATAGTATGAAAATTCAAGTTCTCCTAATCCTTAACACATTGAGACAATTATTCAAGTACAAAGGGAAAGCCCTTATAAAAGGTCCAAAAAGAATTTATCCAGCAATAAAGCTTAAAGAAAACCTTTCCCAAAATAGGGTTTTGAGTGAGTGTCAGCCAGTCCGTGAAAAACTCAAACACCCATTCTGGTATAAGATTATGTTCTCTCCTGTCCACTTGTAATTACTTTTCCATTTCTAAAAGGCAAAATGCACACCTCTCCTTAATCACTGCATTAAAAAACAGAACTATTTTATAAGTAAAACAATTAGTATATAACCTCCTCCCCCCTTGTCCAAGGCTTAAACTTGTATCTTAATCTCTTTCTGGCCTTATTGCTCACAGCTGGTTCTCTACCATTGAGCTATGCCTCTCGCTCAGTGTTTTGCTGATTTAATTGGAGTTGGAGTCTCATGGATTTTTTTTTTGTCCTTGATTCCTTTGAACCTCAATTCTTCAGGTTTTGTCCTCCTAAGTAGCTAATATTACAGATGTGAGCCACTAGCATTTCACTAATTAGTGTAATCTTATTTTTAAATGGACTGTGAAAGAATTTCTATACTATCTCTAAAAGCCTATACATCTTTGGATGCCAGTCATACACCATATAAAGTTAAATGAGCTATCCAAGATATCTGAGTCTAAAAATACACTTAAAAAAAGTTATTCTGAATTAGTCAGATAGGCATTTCAACAAATGTCATCAAATGTTGCATTAACTATGCCAGGTTAAAAAGAAAACTCTCCAAGCATATCATGAAGAGAATGACCTACCCACTGAAGATTATATGGCCGTGTCCTCATCATCCCCTCACTCAACACATGTACACACAACCAATGTAACAAGAGAGGAGTTCAAGCCAGGTGCTGTGGCTCAAGCTACTGAGGACAGTGGTCAGAACCCAGCCTTGGCAGGAAAATCCATGAGACTCTTAGCTTCACTTAACCACCCAAAAGGCCAGAAGTGTACCTGTGGCTCAAGTGGTAGAGTTGATAAATTGAGCAAACAAGCCCTGTCCCTGATTTCAAGCCCCAGCATCAGCACAAAATCACTTTATCTACTTATTTAGTTTCTTTAGTTTGGGGCTCAGACACCAAGAGATTCTAACGTGAAAAAAAATGTTTCTAATAAAAATAGAATCTGGTACTAGGAGAAGAACGAAAACATTTACTTACAAAAGATGTTATTGAAAGAACTGCCTTCAAAAGTCACTTGACAAACAAAAAGCTTAATTTAGGCATTAGGTGCTGTCCCTGAACTTTTACACTCAAGGTTTGTGTTCTACCATTTGAGATACAGCTCCACTTCCAAATTTGCTGGTTAATTAGAGATAAAAGTCTTAGGGACTTTCTTGCCTGGGTTGGCTTCGAACCATGATTCTGAGATCTCAGCCTCTTGGTAGCTAGGATTATCAATGTAAGCTACTGGCATCCAGACAAAAGTCTGTTGGTCTTAAGAAAGTAAAACTACTGACTTAAAATCAAGTTTCTTATAAATATTAAGACCTATAAGATTCCCTTATTTGGGTGGGAAGGTGGCTCAGTGGTAGAGTGCTTGCCTTGCATGCATGAGGCCCTGGGTTTGATTCCTCAGCACCACATAAGCAGAAAAAGCCAGAAGTGGCTCTGTGCCTCAAATGGTAGAGGGCTAGCCTTGAGCTGAGAGACAGCACCCACACCCCGAGTTCAAGCCCCACGACCGACTTAAAAAAAAAAGATTCCCCTATTTGCTGTCACTAAAAATTCATTAGCAATCTAAAATTCTGAAGTTTACACTTTATAGTATACATGAAAAGAAGTATTTTTAATCTGTTAATAGCAAATATGCAATCAATATAACCCATGTCTTCTTCCAGAACCCACCAGAAAGTTCTCCATTTGAAATGGAAATTTACCAAAACAACTTTTTATTTTTCAGTGCCAGTCCCAAGATCCTCAGATCTCAGCCTCCTAAGAAGCTAGGATTATACATGAGCTACGGGCACCAAACAACAAAACCATTCTTAACTTTACAACTTCAGTATGAATTCTAGATTCTGGAATAGCTTAAAATCAAATATGCTAAGACTAAACATAAAGCACAGGCAAGCCTTGGGGAATATGAAATTTAAAATACAAGATACTGACAGTTAAAAATCATACTAATGTCTAAAACATAAAACAAAATCAACTGGGGATATAGCTCAGTTGGTAGAGTACCTGCCTAGGATGTGCAAGGTCCTGGGCTCCATAGCAGGGGTTTAAAAAAAAAAAAAACTCACAAAACGCCCAAAAGGGGCACTGCTCTTATTTACAAAAGGACGGGAATTCTAACATCAGGATGGAAAGTCAAAGCATATTAGTCCGCTTTATAAATATCCATGTCCTTTCTTGGACTCAGAAATCCACGAACCCATGTCCCTTGGGTCTCTTCCATTTCCACCTCACTGAATATCACATGTACAACATCTAGCCAAAGGCAGAGATTTCTCTTGAAGATTTCTAAAAATTAAAACCAGAAGAAAAATAGAGAATACTCTTAATGCCTAAAGCTGCCATACATCTTTCCCTCCTGTGAAGAACAAACCTCCTGCTGAAAGATAATCACTTTTAAACAAAGTTCTACATATAAACACACGTACTATTTCTAATAATTCAATATAATCATAAAATCCTATAGATTTTGCTAGTTCTTTGGAAGCAAAAAAAAAAGCTACTAGGAAAAGTATCTCAAAACATTTTTTTTTCAGAAAGAGAATAGCAATAAAAAAAACTCACTAGATTAATTAGAATTCCCCCACCTTTCAAGGCAGATTCCTTAACACTAAGTGAAAAAATGCTTTTCTAAATTAGTTACTACTACATCAGTTGATTCTGTTTAGCCACAAATCTCAATTCCCTACGTTAAAAATCAATATATTACAGTGTGTATCACTCTCTACCACATATACACACACATACATATATATGTACATTTTTTGTGGTGCTAGGAACTGGATCCAAGGCTTTGCACGTATGAACACTTACTTATCACTGGACTCTATTTCTATAGTCAATGGTGTATTGTTTCCTCACTCCACTGCTTATGACACCAAAACCTTAATGATCTAATATTTCAAAAGTCTTTACATAAAAACAATAGGTAACACTAAAATCACATTGTTATATATTTTTCACCATTATAATTGCACAGCTACCAGTCTATAATTTACTTTTAGCTTATTTAAATACATTTTGCTTAAAGGAGAAACCTAATTCACAATTCAAATATTCTCAGTATAGAAACAAAAGGCAAAAGCACTGCACCACAATCAATTCTATGTACATGTGTCTTAGAGCTCTGTGAAGCACAGCACAAAACATAGCTCAGTTTGCATAAACTGAGGCTTTAGGGCTCGTTGCAAAATTCTAAAAGTAATGTTTAAGTGTTCACATTCTTAGCCTATTGAAAAGTCTCTTAAGAGAACACAACACAAAGCATTTGGACATGTGACAAAGTGTTGATATTCATAGTATACTTATATTTTGGCATAGATATAAAACAAAAATAAAAATGCTGTTAGTACATTGATATGTTTTAGTATTTCCTGTTGAAAGTTTCCAATTGCATGTGAAGTCCAAATAGCTGGGGAGAATCCGGAAAATTGACAAGAAAAGGATGACTTTTTAGAATGCTGACGCTTTTCACACCCAGGTTCAGTCATGGCAGCTGAAGTGTTAGGTATGGCTTTATTCCTTTTAAATCTGAGAACTGTAGTCACTTCCATGACATTTCAAATACTGGAACCAAAAGCATTTTTTCTTCATGATTCTGAGCCTTCTTGGTTCATAATCATGTTTAGAAAACCATTTCTATAAACTTAGTTCATACTTGTATAGAACATTTGCTCGCTACTGCTTAGAGTCCAAGTATTCTGCCCTAGACCTCCTAGAGAAATAGGAATACAGATACTAAAAAAAGATAGCTAAAACCATAATACACTCTCTCTCTACACACACACACACACTCTCTCTCTCTCTCTGTCTTTCTCTCTCTCTCTTTTTCTCTCTGAGCTTCGGAGCCCCTTCAGACATGACACCCACTAAGGGGGCCTTTGCTTCTAACTGTGTAAGGGTCTCCGGCTGTGGTCTGACTTGCACAAGAAGTACAGACAGCCCCTGAGAGGCGCTTTAGTCCCCTTTGGAAAACACTGTTGGACAGACTGTAAATGATACAGTTGCAGAAACTATTACTAATAGCAAGCCAGGTTGTCAAGAAGGATGCAAAGCGGTTGCTGTGGCCAGTGGAACTCTCCAACAAGAAGTAGATGATGTACGGCAACCAGAGGATATAAAACACACTAGTGATTCGGAACAGGACCATAGCATAACGTTTATCAGGGCAGGCCTGTACTTCCCCAGTCTCCCCATTCTGGTTGCTGAAGCGGGCTTGCCTTTCGCTGATTTCCTTTGTGTGCTGTTGACAGATTCGGAAGATGTTGAAATACGTGAAGCAGACAATGAGGGCTGCAGGGGCATATAACGTCATCACGATGAACAAGGTGAAGTAGGGGTCAGTGTGCCAGGACTCTGCGCACCACTGGTACACATCTCCATGATAGCCAGGTTTGCCCCAGTGGAAAAAAGAGGGCAGGAAGACCAGCGTGGAGTACAGCCAAATCAGGAAGATACAGAGGCGTAATCTACAGGGTGTAACCAGGGTATTATAAGTTAAAGGCTTAGTGATCGCAATGTATCTGTCAATACTAATGCAGGCCAGAGAGGCCATGGAGACACTCTTTAGAACTGACACCATAAAACCAAATATCTGGCAAGTCAAGGACTCCTGAATTGGAAGTGGGTAGTGAAGGAGTGATAAAGAGGGTACTAGGCAGCTCACTCCAACCAAGAGGTCAGCATATGCCATTGTCTGGATAAAATAACTGGTGGTGTGATGGTTCAACAAAGGTGCACAGTGAAATACAAAAATCACAATGATGTTCCCAGAAATAATCAGTACAGTTAGAAAGACAATAATAATCACTTCCAAAAGGCAAAAACTGACAGATTCCAAGTAGCCAAATGCCAAGAGACAAAAAGGGTGGCTGCTCTGATTACCATCCAAGCTGGAGTTCATCTTGAGCTCAGGAGCGATCTCTCACTTCATGCTGCCGCTTGGCTGCTGCCAACAGTTCAAAGGAGCAGCTGCTGTCATCGCGGTCAGCTGTGTGTGTGTGTGATAATGCAGAGGAGCCTCAGTCCCCAGGCTCCTGATGCTGCTGCTTTGGTGCATTGCCTGCAGTGCAATTCCCCTTTATATCTTTCTTGGAATAAGGAGAGCCAACAGTAGTTGTCTGGCCAGTCCCAGATGTGGCCATAGTGCCAGATTCACCATACACATAGCACCAGGGGAGTAAGACAACCTTGGGGGACAATGTCTTCAAGCCAAGTGAGGTTAGGGGTAAGGGGCAGAAGAAGGGAGATTAGGAGCTTCAGCAGGAGTTGCAATGAGTCTCCTCTGAACAGCTGATAGAAGAAAAGGAGAGAGCATTTTACATTTTGAATCCAATGCCCTAATCAAAGAACCTAGCTAGCTCAGGGCAGCCTTACCCTTCCCACTCTACCCCTCCGGACACCACAATTTATGGCTATTCTTGCTAGCACCCACATAACTAGTCTCCAACAGAGGAGGATCGGCAACACTAACCTTTCAGGATCAGCATGAAAGAAAAGCAATCACAGATCAATCTATTCTTATTTCCTTTTATTTGACCCTTTTGAGGGGAGAAAAGAAATCTGCTTCTAGCAATTCTGAAAACATTTCATTATAATTGCCATTAACAAAATTAAGCCAAGATATCTTGCTCTCTCTCTATTAAAGCCAACGTAGTATTTACCTTTGAAAATACTTTTAGCAGAATGTATCTTTTTAGCTCAATTTCAGTGTTACCTGTAATTCTGCATGCTGAAATCCAAACAAAGACCACATAAATCCTTAACAGAAAGCCTTGCAACGCAGGAATGTGCTTCAGCCTGTGTACTGCAGAACTGAGACACAGAGGGAGGGGATAAAAAAAGTAGGAGGGGAAACAGGGAGAAGAGGGGGCTTGGGAAAAGGAAGAAAGGGGGAGGGGAAAGAAAACGCATGTGTGCGCGCACACTTGAGCATCTTTAGCAGCTCATTAGCATTCATTGCCAGAAGTGCTCCCTGATTTCCAGACTGCACAACGGGGAATGACTTAGTATGCTGTAGTGCAGCACTTGAAGGCTGTTTCCTCGTCTGTCTGGAATCCCCCATTAGCAGATAAGCATAATCCAGGCAGTTGGCAAGCAAGGAAAACGGGTAGTAACCAGAGCAGAGTTGGGAGTTAGACTGACACACATTTGCAGAGGGACAATCGAGAGGGGAAATTCCTATTTTCTTATAGCGTTTCCCCAAGAACAAAGAACAATGTTAAAGAAAGGAAGTATGTTAACAGTGCATGGCAACTGAGAAGTTGTCATAGTTTCACTGTACAAGTAGTTCTAGTTGGCAGTTCCCAGGCCCTGAGCACAAGGCCCACCACACACACACACACACACACAGACACACACACACACACACAGACACACACACACACACACACACACACACACACACACACACTTCTAGTTGGAAGGCTAAATATTTAGCATGATTTTCTTTCTCATGACTCACTGAATATTGACTAATTTAAATGAAGAAACTTTAAAACCAGTTTTTCAAGAGAAAAATTAATATTGTCTAATCTGATAGTAAAAAAAAAAGGAGCACATACGTAGAGGAGAAATCGTTTCTGAATTTAACATTATCCTGTAGTTATTTTCTTTTTCAAGATACTTTTTTGAAGCCAGTGCCTTGTATAATCCAGGCAAACAGTCTACCACAGAGCTACATCCCCTAGTTTTGTCCTGTAGTTTTGAGATACCATTTCTTGCTTCTAGACCACTAGAAGTCAGTGTACAAATATAAAAACAAAAAATACAAAGGTAAATTACCCATTCCCAAACAGACTTGAAAGTTCCAGGAAGTTTCATTGTATAAATAAGTCTTTGAATATCAAAACAGACAACCTGGTTTCTAATTACTTTAAAAAATGCAAATTGGGATTTCTTGTGTTTTTTCCCCTGGTAACATCATAAATGATTAATTTTCAGGTAATTGGAAGTAGGATGTTATGGGAACAGGGTAGTTTTAGTTATTTTTTCCTTTGGGTGTATATGAACTATCATTTTTTTTCTAGACAAAATGATCAGTTCTCCATAGAGCAAAAGAAAATAAACATTGGTATTTTAACACATTTGAGGTTTGTATATTTAAGTAGAAATATATTGTGATTGGGCTTTCTTTCTTTTCTTTTTTTTTGATCAGTCCTGGGGCTTGAACTCAGGGCCTAAGCACTGTCTCTGAGCTTTTGCTCAAGGATAGCACTCTACCATTTGAGCCACAGTGGCACTCCTGGCCTTTTCTGTTTATGGGGTACTAAGGAATTGAATCCATGGCTTCATGCATGCGAGGCAAGCACTCTACTACTAAGCCACATTCCCAGCCCTGGACTTCCACTTTTATTCTTTTTTTAAATCATATACTTTTTTGGTTTGTTTTGTTGGTTTTGGGGCTTGAACTCAGGTCCTGGTTGCTGTCCCTAAGCTTTTGCACTCAAGGCTTGTACTCTAAACACTTTGAGTCACAGTGCCACTTCTGGTTTTCTGGTGGCTAATTGGAGATAAGAGGCTCACAGACTTTCCTCTCTCAGTCGGCTTGGAACCTAGATCCTCAGATCTCAGCCTCCTGAGTTCCTAGGATTATAGGCGTGAGCCACTGGTACCTAGCTTATATGCCTTTGTTTGTTTGTTTGTTGCTGGTCCTGGAGTTTGAACTCAGGACCTGGGTGCTGTCCCTGAGCTTTTTGATGTTGTTCAAAGTTAATGCTCTACCATTTGAGCTGCAACTCCACTTCTGGGTTTTTGGTGGTTAACTGGAGATGAGTCTTAGGCCTGGGCTGGCTTCAAACGGCAGTCCTCAGATCTCAGTCCCCTGAGTAGCTAGCAGTAAAGTCATAAGCTATTAGTATCTAGCACTACAGTTTTAAGGCACATAACAGTTCTCTGTATACAATGTCGTCATACATTGCTCAACTACGTTAAGGCTATGCATATACAAGGAAGTTAAGGTACCAGAAAAAAAAGATGAATGTCAGGACATCAATTATTTCCTCTATACACATAGTTGCTCTGCCTAGATTTCTAGACTGGACATTAGTTCTGAACTCCCTCTGTTTACAATTTGCCTACTGGACTCATTTGGATGTCCTTAAAGATTTTACCTACCTCTAGCCTTATCTATACTCCTACTTTGAAACTGACAAGCTTTTTCTCACCTTTGAACACATGCTATTTATTCCCTTTCTAACTCCAACTCACTTCCTAGATGATTTCAGAATTAGAGACCTTTTAGAAAACAAATGAGAAATCCTTTATGTTATCTGGACTAGAGCACTATATATTCTTTTTTCTAACAATCTGAAGCAATCTATTCTATTTGTTTATAGTTAATTGCCTGTATCCCCTTAGATGAAAAACTGCAAATCAATGGACAGATTTATCTTATTCATGGATATATCCTTAAGACTGGCACAGGACTGGCACTGATAAACAAAGGCCTAATACAACAGAAGTTTCATTAAGATTGCTTATATACCTATAATTTTCATTAAGATTGCTTATATACCTATAATTACAGGTTAGGCATCCCTAATCCTAAAATGTCTCAAAATTTCAATTTTTTGAATCCTAATTTTAATTAAAAATGTGTGAGATTTGAGAGCATTCACATTTTATTTTCATCACATTAGGGATGATCAATCAGTGAAGTCTATGTAAAATATCACAAAATCTGAAAACCTCTAAAATCTAATGTTCCTCTTTTCAAGTATTTTGGATAAGCAATGCTAAATCTGTATTACACTGAAGCAAATTAAATTTCTGTTGGTTAAAAATTGTCAAATAGTGTCTGAACACAGCATACTGAAACCTCTGACGGGAGCTGGGGTACAGGTCAAGTGGTAGAGTGCCTGACTTAGGCAAGTGCAAGGCTCTGAGTTCAAACCCCCCAAAAAGAAAAGAAACCTAATAAAGTCTGTCAAAAGGCAGGAGGGTGGGGTGGGCTGGGGTTAGATAAAGGGTTGAGGAAATGGAGAACTAAAGACAATATAGTCAGGGTGAATTATCAAAGTACATTACATTATATGCATGTATGAAAATAGCACAATGAAAATCCTTTCAAAAACAATTAATTGAAAACAATTAATTGATGCTAATAAAATTAACTGTCCACTACCAGTAATTCTAATATGGCCAAGCCTAATAGGTTTATATTCTTTTTTTGGGGGGGGGGGTCCAGTCGTGGGGCCTGAACTCTGAGCCTGGGTGCTGGTCCCTCAACTCTTCAGCTCAAGGCTAGCGCTCTACCACTTGAGCCACAGCGCCACTTCCAGCTTTTTTCTTTTTGCTTATGTGGTGCTGAGGAATCGAACCCAGGTCCTCGTGCATGCAAGGTAAGCACTCTACCACTGAGCCACCTTCCCAGCCCTGGTTTATATTCTTATAAATCAGGAAATCTTTAGAAATCTCTACATAGATAAAACACACAGAAAGTCTCTTAGAGGGGAAAATAATCTCAGAGATGAAATATGAGAGCTTAAGATTATTTTCACAAACAATAATATAACAGGAATATGACAATTTCTTTCTTTCTTTTTTTTTTTTTTGATGGTCGTGGGGCTTGAACTCTGGGCTTGGGCGCTGTCCCTGCGCTCTTCAGCTCAAGGCGAGCACTCTACTGCTTGAGCCACAGCGCCACTTCTGGTTTTCTAGTGGTTTTTATTGGAGATAAAGAGTCTGACGGACTTTCCTACCCAGGCTGGCTTTGAACCACAATCCTCAGATCTCAGCCTCCTGAATAGCTAGGATTACAGGCGTGAGCCACCGGCACCCGGCTAGGAATATGACAATTTCTATATGGAAGCAGGCAATACAGTTCTATAGATCACTCACAACATTATTTCTTATAGAATCATACAGCAAAACTATCTAGTTAGGAAATGGTAGAATCGCAGCCTAAGTTTTGAACAGAACTCAAACACTACAGCGGTCCATAGTATGTAAAGTATTGGTTCCAGGACCCCTGTTGGATACCAGTATCTATGGATGCTTAAGTCTCTTATATAAAATGCTGAGCTATTTGCATATAATCTACATATCTCATATATTTTAAATCATCTAAACTTAGACCTCCATAAATATGTAAATTAAATACAATTCAGATTAGAATTATACTTATACCGCAGGGTGTTGGGGTAATTAGGTTGGTAAGTTTTTTCTTTCTTTTTTTAGGTACTAGCCTTTGAACTCAGGGTTTCCTATTTGCTAGGCATGTGCTCCACCATTTGAATCAAATTTCCAGTCCTTTTTCAAGTTTTTGTCCAGAGCCAGCATCAAATTGAGATCCTACTGCATACTACCTTCCTCATAGCTCAGATCACAGATATACACTACCACATACACATTCTAATTAAGACGATATTTCAGGCAGTTATCTTCTTGATCTCTGCCTACTGAACAGCTGAGATTACAGATGTGAGTCACTTCACTGGCTAAATAAGTTTTTTTTTTTAATCTTTTCACAGAAGATTAAATTTGCAAAAATAGTCAAGCATGCAACAAGAAACACTGAAAATAGGCTTGCTTTACCAGATATTAGAATATAACTCAAAGTCTTAAAGAACAGTTTAGAACAGGAATATATAAGCACATCAGTAACAGACCCATCCTGGTATATATGAGAATTTCAATTATCACAAAGATTGTAGAGCTTTCTGAGGAAAACAAAAGAATCAAACTGGTAACCCATCTGGAAGAAAGTAAAACTGAATCCCTATCTTATGCTCTGTATAAAAATGCCAGATGGATTAAACACATAAAAAAAACACATATAATAAAAATC